CCTTAGTAAGGAGGGTGCTGCCGTGGGAAGGACTGCTCTAGGGTAGGCAGGTCCTTGTCTCGAGGTCTTAGTAAGAAATCGAGGAATAAGGTCACCTTCTAGGTAGTACCTTAGAAGGAAGTCGCGTGACCTTATAGGGTAGGTAAATCGAAGTTCGATAAACCTAGCGTTCTTCCGAGTATCAGTGACCGAGGTGCCGAGAAGAGCTTAGTAAGCTCTCGTAACCAGGGAAAGATTTTTCCGTAGATCGATTCGTCGGATTAATAATCCAGGCTCATAACCTATTAAAGAGTAATACTCTTCTAGGCGCAGGGTAAGTAAATCGCGATAATCCGGGAATCCCTTTAGTAAAGGAAGAAAGCGACCGATTCAGCAATCTTCTCTTTAGGGTAGGTAAGATATAGGTAAAGAACTTAGTGAATGAATAACTTGATTCAGAACTATCTAGTAGTGAACGAAGGCCTATATTTATAGGCGTAAGGGCGCTATAATGCCCTGTAAAAGAGTGGGTCAAACCGAACCTAGTGGAAGGTTATAGAAGGTTTGATTTATAATAGCGAGTATGGCAGTGCTAGCCTTCGAATATTATAGAAGGCAATAGAAGCACTGTATTTGTAAGCGCTGTGGACCCTTGTAATAGGGTCTGAATAGATCCCTATAAGGGTTCTGTGAGAGGGCCTCGTAAGGCACCTAATTAGGAGGATTAGCCCCCTATTCTTAACAATAGCGCTTCCCCTATCCTTTCTCTTCGTAAAAGGTATAGGGTATCTAGGCAACGTAATTAAATTCTTAGATTAGAAGAAATAAATCTTTACGATATTATTTCGAGCTACGCGGTATAATATTAGTATAGAGAAAGAGAGAGGAAAGGAAGGACTCACGAAATAAGGGATACGATTAGTTTTAATTAATTCTAGGATAGAATTATAGGAGAGGGAGTATTATATTACGACCTAATATACGGCTACTAACGTATATCACGTAGGCCCTATAATTTCGTTATACGAACTTATTTATATTCTTTAATATAGTAAAGTATAAAGCGGTATACCGGCCGCCTAAATAAGCGATAATCGTGCGAATATCGTTCGCACGAGTACCGGTCGCACGAATACCGGTCGCACGAATCCTATTTATATAACTAAGGACTTATTATTTTTACTAATTACGCACTAATTATACTAATTACTAACTCTTAATACCACGACCACGGTGATTAATTATATTTAATTACTACTAATTACTCTTACTTAACCGTGATTATTTTGTGATTACCTTAGTATATAGGAAGCCTAGCTTCGCTATAGCTAGTCTCTACTAGCTCCTTAGCTATTAATATAATTATCTACGTAAGATCTACTATCTCGTATATAGACTATAACCCGACCGCTTAAGTTAACGATATCCTAGTATACTTAGTTTATAAACCGACCTTAGATCTACCTACCCTGTAGCTAGTCTGATCCGAACGTCACACTTACCCTCACTTACTTCTTTGTGCTTGTGCAGTCGTAAGGCTACCATACTAATGCGCAGTACGTACTATACTTACTCGGAAAAGTCGAACAGGTTGGTCCGAGGGTTAAGTGTCGATTTGCGACTACTTGTGAATTCCAGTGTTGATTGGGTCCTCCGTGATTTTAATGGGGCATAAGCTCGGACTATTACGTACTTGTACTCTGTTCGTGTTTTCTGAGTAAATAAGGTATACGTATGCGCCAACATGGCTGCCCGATTGGCTCATATGTGGGTGTGTAGGGCGGAGCTTACATAAGAAATTTCACGCGCGCAACACGTGACGCTTATTGGTGCGCCCAGGCGCGCGACTATTGGCGCCCCTCCGGTAGGGATGAGTCACGCTAAACTCTGCCTGGATATATTATGTTTCCCACCTCCACTCTCGGACGTTCAACGAGTCAACGACGCGACAGCAATATACCTGGTCATCACTCAGTCATTACCCACTCAATATGCCTTCCCCCGTCGGCAGGATAGTTGTCCTCAATGGCTTCCCAGGCACGGGCAAGTTCACTATTCTTAAGCGAGCCAAAGAGCTCCTACCCGCCGACACGACCTGCCTTCTGGACAACCACCTGCTTATCGACCCCGTTGTGACAGTCATACCTGACCGGAGTGATGAACACCACGAGCTGCGACGTATGGTCCGGGCGCCTATCTTTAAAAAGCTGCGAGAACGCGCACGGGAGGGTTACGTCATCTTTATGACCGCATGCCTGGCCGAAAATAACGAGAGGGATACCGCCTTCCTTGAAGAACATCTTGACATAGCGCGCGGAACCGATATCCCTTTTTTCTGGGTGAATGCCCATTGCGATCAGAAAGCCTTGGAACAGCGCCTCAGCAGCCCCGAGCGCTGCCATGGAGCCAAGACGAAGCTTACGGATGTGTGCGTCCTCCAGAACCTGCTGCGGGAGCATTCTCTCATTGAGCCGAGCAAGATTGCGGACGGACCGGTGAAGTTGGTGGTGGAAACATTGGACGTCAGCGGGCCGGTGGAAATATCTGTCAGCCATCTAATGAGCATGATTGATTTTCCGCAAGGTGTTGTTCCAGCATGCGCCTGATTTCGGTAGATACAGAGCGACTACTGTTGTTTGTGGGCATGTTTGGGGCCCAATAGGCGGGCACCCAGGTGCCCAAATAACGGTCGCACCTAGGTGCCTAAATAATACATATTAGCCAATCAAATACCTCACGTAGCCG